GTATATTGAATGACTGATGAATTTATCATTCTAACTTGTGGTCCCTTACTTCACTATTGGTAATATTATTGATTGTGATAGAAAAAAGTAGGTAAAACCTTGCTGGATCTTTTCCTATGAGCTACTCCTGCCTGTAACTTACAAGGGTCATGCAAATCCCCTTCTGTCAGTATGCTAGCTTAGCAGTATATAGTGTATTAACTTGATATTAACAAACAGTTGTTGTACTTAGCCTGGTGAGTGCCTCCCAACCACAATTTAGAACATTCTGCCACACATGAGGAAGGAACCTTCTGTGTGAGCTGGTCTTACCATCCAACCAAGTATTTCCTAAATGGTGTCATCAGGCAAGGTATCATAACAACCTGTCTCTGGTAGACAGAAAGAAGAAACACACTGTGGAGGGGAATCTGGAGTTCCACATCTTCTGTAAGGGATGCAGAGGAGATGCAGAAGCAGGTAGGGGTGATGACAAGTTGTCTGTAGAAAATACAGTCCACTCAGGAAAGTTAAACATGTTTTAAGCTCAAAAGAGCAAAAAGGAGTCCAAACATCCATTATGGGACAGTGTCCCATGACTTCAAGTTCAATATTATTGTCATCATGCCAATGTGTCTCAGAGAGTGCCTTCTGGGGTGTTTTAATTTAACATTGTGTACTCCTTGATGCTGAGCAAGACACATTTTAACATTTTTGTGGTTTCAAGGAATAAATGGAAAAAACTAGTAAGGAGATTCTAAATTTTTCAGTTTTTCATTTTTGTTTTACATATTGCTTCTTAATATAGATGGATGAAAATAATCATGAGTTCAATAAGTGAGATATGAGCATGAAGATTATTCAGTTTATTTGACATACAATGGAAATACATTCAGATTTTCCAATAAGCCACATAATACAGTGATCTTTTGAATTTTAAACTAAGAATGCTGGTATTTATATCATTGTTTTTTGAAGAATAAGAGGGATTTTTTTGTTCTGTTTTCATTTTCTTTAGAAAAAAACATTGAAATTAGTACTAAAATATAGACAACTTACAAAGTTTCTTAGCTTTATGAAGACTGAAAATATCTAAGCCTTGTGACCCAGTGTTTTATTACATTTTATTTTACCCTGAAAGGCACCTCCTTTGTTAGAAAGCTTATCCTTTCAACAAAGGAAAGTCGCTGGCTGGTAATCTAATCTTTGAAAAAGAGCCTGGATTTTTCTGGCAACAAAAAAGAGAAAAGCAGTATTGGAAAAAATAATACTTGAAACTAAAAGCAGGAGGGGAAGGGGAAAAGAACTCCTTGAAAATAATTATGTCACAGGCAGTTTCAGCTGTTTAAATGCTTGGTACTGGGTGAAAGAACTTAACATTGTGGCATCTGTCCCCAGTCCCAAGTAGGGACCAGCCCAAAGTTCACCAACAGAGGAAGCCAGCCTCTAAAGATTTTTCTCTTTAAAGATATTTTTGGTTTTTACTGATGAAAGAATGTGTCATTTATTTTTTCTGACTCTTTTTAGAAATAAGAACAACAGCACAACATTTTTTATGGCTCTGGAATAGAGCTTGCCACATTTTTCTGATAGATGCAATCATGATGTTCAGGATCTGATTGGGTTGTTGTTGTTCTTGCTATTGTCACTGAGTGTCACACTGGCAAATTTTAAAAGCCTGTGAAGTTAGAAAATCAGGGGAGATGTTCCAGCTCTTCTCCAGAAGGAGGTTAAACTAGTGGTTTGGGATATGGAACCCTCTCTCTCGAATGAGATTTGTATTTAGTGAGACCCTAGGGTTTCTCCCAGCTTTAAAATTGTGCAATTCTATGAATCACAGAAAAACAGAGCTATTGCTATCAATTAATAGCAAATAGGATATCAATTAATAACAAAGTTAAAATGTGAGATTAGAGTCTTTTTTAAATTTGAAAGTGAAGGAACTTTCCAGAAATATTGAAGTTTTAGTTTCAAAGTCCTTTATCCTAACCCTGTTGACAGCATCAGAGCCTTATATTTGAGTTATTTCAATAGTAAAAGTACAGAAATAAACATCTCCTTGTAAGTTAGTGGAAGAAAATACCTGCTTTATGTCCATATATTCACATAGAGAGCTGTGTGTTATTCCTTAGAAAAGAGAGAAAAAATGATGACTGCAGATGTTTAAGACGGTGGCTATAAATCCAATGACTTATAAACAAGAACTGTGATGGGAATAAAACCCAATGTCCTTATAGGGAAACCTAGACATGCAAAGATTTGTACATGTGCCTTGCATTGTGGTTTGGTTAAAAGAAAAAACTTGTGGTGGTGCTAAAGAGTTTGCCTGTAAAATGAGACCTGAATGATGTCTGGCAGATCTGAAGCACAGGGACTGATCTGAGAGCTCTTGTGTTTACACTCCCGCAGTGATGGTTGTAAGCAGATCTTTCTAAACAAGGCAGAGCAATTTAGAAGGATTAAGAGATCAGAACCTAGAGTGTGTGCCACAATTTTCTTCCTTTCTAAACCTTCAAAAAATTAAGCTCCCCAAGCTGATAAACCTATAACAAAGGGATTTTGAAAAGTTCCTTTTAAGGAATTTGCTCCCTATGGGACATTGCTGCTTGTGACTTCAGTGTATAATGTTGATTCTTTTATTCCAAGCAGCTAATCCATTTTGGTTATTTTCCATGTAGTAGCAAACAGCTTCAATGAGGTAGCTCCCTGAGGCTGGGTAAATGGGCATATATGTTTTCAGGCCCATTTTTTTGTTTACATGTGTATGGAATAATGGGAAATGTCCTTCAGTTGTAAGTCATTCCTGTTTTGTTTCCATTCCAAGATAAATCTGGTTTTGGGGAAATTGTAATACAATGCTTAGTCACTATTGATTTATGTTGAAATATAAGAAAAACTGGAATGCTAGAGTCTTTTTCTTATGTCGCCTTGGGAGTTCATATCTTAAGGCTGTCTTTCAGGTGAAATCACATCATGTTTAGTCCTTCAGCTACCGCATGGAACCAACACTCAAACTCTCATGTTCACCCTATGGTAGAGAGAAATTTTAGCAAAGTGCCTTTTGATGTATGGAAAGAACACGTGTGTCTTGATACATTAAAGTAGACATAACCCAGAGGATAGTCATTCGTCCATGACAAAGCTATAGATCCAGATAGTTACATCACTGGGTGTTTTGCATTAAGTTACTATATTACTTAAAAGTTTTCCATTCTCTCTCTCTCTCTGTTTGTTTTCTTTGTTCTTTCTTTCACATAGGGTCATCCCAGACTCAAACTGTGGTAGTTACCTCTGATGTCACAAGGAGCTAGTTAGGTGGGCTTCAGTTGCTTTTCATTCACTACTTAATTTTTCTACCCTACCCCTGAGTGGTTCAGAGGCCTTTCACAACATTCTTTATTGCTGTCCTTGCTAACAGGACTACTTATCTCTTAGCATCCAGTGAGTAGTTACCTCTGGCATCCCTGTTCTATATTTCCAGTATTTTGTGGAAAAAAGTTAGTCTTGTTTTAATGAAAACATCAGCCATATTAACTATGAGCATAAAGACTGATTGGAAACTTATTGTCAATTTTTTTGCTTTGAAAACAATCTAATCAATAAAATATTTCTTGAATATAAACCATCGTCAGTATTTATTATCATTTGTAAAGTTAAAAACATTCTGTGATTAAATTCTGGTAACCAATGGACAACTGACTTATGGAACCTACTTTGTTAGGGTTTGCAGAAAAGAGAAAGTATTGCTACACGACTGGCATTGAATTATGTGGAGAGAGCTGGTGGGCTTCCCATCCCATTTCTTTCAGAGAGGGTAGTGGACTCATGGATATTGTAGCCATCATGGGAGATTGATGCCAGGCTCAAATTTTTTTCTACACTCAACATAAGACACAAAACTTTATCAAATGTGTATATCTCCACCATGTGCTCACAAACATCATTCCATCTGCTCTACCATGAAAGAAATTCATTAAAAAGTGAGTTAGGGTACAGTGTTTCAAGGGCAAGAAGTGGAGAAACAATAGAAAATCTCTCCCCAGAAACCATAATTAGATGCATTCAAAAACTAAATCTCTAATTAATGGATCAGAATCATTCTATCACTAGGTCTTGGAGCTATACTTGAATTTCAATAAGACAGATATTGCCCCAATTTTCCTTCTTTGCCATAGAACTTTCTGTATTCTTTATGTTATGTATCTTCTTCATCACACCATTTTCAATTATACAAATTTTTATTTCATATTTTCAAGGTTTTAACATTTACAATCATCCAACAACCAAAAACCAATCAACATCCCAAATGTCAGATATAATTGTGTATAATTCCAGCCTCTTTGGAGGCTGAGGTGGAAGGAAAGAAAGTGTGAAGCTGGACTAGTGTGACAGTGTCTCAAATTTTAAAAATCAAATCAATAAATTAATATAAAAAGATTCAGACATAGCTCAGTGGTAGTGTATGGAAGGTTCAATCTTCAGTAGCACAAAAAAGTACTACTTTCATGATTAAAAAATTAAAAAGTTCCAGATTTTTGAAACTGATCAATAATTTTTAGAGTAATGCAAGCATCATCTGATTGGTAAAGTGAAAATCTGAGCCTCTATCACCTAAGTTGCATGTAGTGAGAAGAGCTTCAAAATTATTGCTCAGATGTCCTAATAGGTAAATTCTGGATGACTGACATCTGATGTTTTCCTAGGAAGTTAAAGATTTTGTAGTAAACTAGGGAGGATCTTACACTTTTCTGGGAGCAAGAATAGAGAGGAGTGGGTAAATGTAGCTCAACTAGGAAAGTAAGGCACCCCAAAACTACTGTTGTTCTTACCAAAGAGGATTTCCCCCAAAAAGGATTTTGTGTAGACTCCTGAAAAACTAGAGCACTATCATTTGCACTTCTTATATCAAATAAACCGAGTGGGCCCAGAAATGAAGCCACCAGGAATTCACAAAAATCTACATAAAATAATGAGTATGCTTTAAATATCTACCTAGAATAGAGAGTGTGGAAGTAACTTACAGTCAGACCAGTCAAATGAAGAATGCTCTGATCCTCCTTCGTCTTTCTGATATTTCAGCCCCAGAGGTTTCAGCAAGGACTGGAGAGTAGAGAAAGACATGAATGAGAAAGAAGAGAATCTCACTTGTCCACCTTTCTAGATGTAAGTTCACATTTAACAATAGCTCCAAATATTGGATAGCATTATTAGAAAGGAAGTCTTACCTTGGAAAAATATTAAATTGGTGCTTACTGACATTGTGAGTACTATGCTTTCAATGTGTACTCTAAACTTCACATGTTGGGAACTGCAATGCAAAGCAACAGTGTGGAGAAGTGAGATCTTTGAGAGGTGCTTAGGTCCAGGATTCTCTGTCCTTGTGGATGGATTCATTCTGCCATCATGGAGCAGGTTAGTCATCTCAGGAGTGTACTCCTGATGAACAGATGCATTTCATATCCTCCTGGACTCCCTCTTCTGTGAATGCTCTCTTGCCTTCTGCTTTCTATCATTGGAATGATGTAGAGCCATGGCCAGATATGGGCCCCTCAACCTTGGACTTTCCAGCTTCCAGCAGTGTAAGAAATAACACCACATCATTTTTAAATTGTCTACTCTTATTACTCCACTCTAGCAGCACAAAGTGCATTAACACACTGCACATTCTATTATCTGGATTAAGATTATACTTTATCACTCAATGATTTAGAGAGAACTTATGACTTTAAAGGCTTAAAAGTATTCAGCAAAGTAATGGCATTGTAGGGTTTTACTTAGTTGCACAAACAAAACAATATGAAAAGAATCTCATAATTTTTACAAAAGACAATGAGTTTCCTTTATACAGTATGTATATATTAAATAGTTGTTAGATAATTTCAGAAATTATTATTTATTTGTTCGCTCATTTTAAAACAATTCTTTAATACATGTAAAGTAGAAACAAAGCTTTGAAACCACTATATGCAAGATCAGAAATTTCTATGAACTTAGAGGAAGAAGAGATCCATCTCACAGTTAGGAAAGCATGGCAAAGAAGAGGGACAGGAGTCAGCAGGCACTGCATTTTCTAGCTTGCTCTGAAAATTCCGACTCCATCTTACTAAGACCTTTTATCAACATATTTTACTTCTAAAGTGTATATCATGGTACAAATGCTATTGTTTTTTTAAAAAATAGAACAAATTAGTTTTTAAAAATGGGAAAGATAAATTTTTACTATCAAGGAAATTATTGACATAAAACAAATGATACGTGTCAATTTTACATTGAAAATAACTATCTATAATTATAAAACCCAAGAATTTTACTACATTTACTTATTTCCTAATCCTGTGTCAAAATAAGAATATTTCAACTGCAAACAAAGCCAAATAGTAATGGCAATGGATTAAATCCAAAGAACAACTGTTATCTGCCCATTAAATCCAGAGGTGGAAGGGCCTGATATTGTGTTAGGACTTCAACCATGAGGGCTGGGGATTTAGCTCAGTGGTGGCAATGCCTGCCTTGCAAGTGCATGGTCATGAGTTTGATCCCTTCTACCAAAAAAAAAAAGAAAAAAGAAAAAAAAAAGAACTTCAACTGTAACATTCAGGAGCAGGAGCACAGCTCCATGTAGCGTTCCCTTTTATCATCCTCAGGAGGCTTGCTTTCTACTGGATGGGCACTATTACTATTATTTGTATAGGTGGCATCAATTAAAAAACTTAGAGTAAGTTGACTCATATGTCTTCCAGAAGTAGCAATTGTAAAGGTATGCTTGAAATTTTCACTGTAAACAGACAAATGCATTAACTTTGTTGGATGATGTATTTATTATTCAAGACCCATAAAAACCCAACTGCATAAATGAGCAGTTTCAGCATGTATGTGGGAAACAGAAATTTCCTTCACCTCCATATTCTTGTACCAGTGAGCAGTTTTCAGGTCTTCCTCAGAACCAGTAAGGAGGTGTCCTTTACCCCGTTGGGGTCCCAGAGCTTGGATGAATGCTAACCCAAATGTGTCAAGTTCTGTTCTCCACCTCAGATGCCTTGAAGAGGGTCCAATTTCATTGTGTTCCAGGAATCAATGCCAGGAAAAGGAGCCAAGTACAGTTGGATTGAAATGAAGGAAATTCTATTCTTAGGGCAACTTAGCAGCCATCAAGGTTCAGGTCACCTAGAATAGAATAAAATGCCAGAGAGGTGGGAGTAAATGTTACATAATGCATTTTCCATGAAGACAAAGGAGTATCTTTGACTTTTGTAAAGAACAATTTCTCCTTTTTGCTTCCTGTTTAAAATAGAATAAAAGTAATGGCTCTTCTTCCTTTAATTTTGGAACTAGAAGAGGATGGATGAACCCATAAAACAAAACCAGATCAATAGTGAGGAACTTACAACTTCAGGACAGCAATTAGTCAAAGGAACACCAAGAAGATTAAGAACCATGGAGTCTACTGCCTGCCTCTGTCACGAACTGACTGTGTAAATTTAGGAAAAAACCATAAGCTTTTTTTTTTTTGGTACCGGGGATCGAACTCCGGTCCTTGCACTTGCTCAGCAGGTGGCAAAACCACTGAGCTAAATTCCCGGACCCTACCATAAGCTTTTTTAACTGCCTCCGCTGTAATGTAATGGCTGTGGAAAAGATGATTCTAGAATGTTAACACTGTAACAGTACATGACGGAAAGTAGCAGACACGTTCTGCCTTCTGTTGGTCCACGTTCCACCAGGTAACATCAAAGCAGACTCTTCTCTTCAGCCCGGCATAAATCACAGCTTTTTTGGTTTTGTTTTTTTATTTTTGAAAGAAAACATTTATTGAAGCAAAATCAATACTTTCTTTTTAATATCTACAAGCCAACACTGAGTTTACTTTATTCAAGAATGAACACAATGTACAAAAAATGTATGCTTATATTATAAAAATATGTCAATTTTATCTCCTGGGTGCTGAGCAGAAGTCATTTTTTAAAAAATTCTTTTATTGGTACATTTTAGGTATATAATACATTTACATTTATCATTGGGTGCTTGTACCTGCATATGATGTATCTTGGTTCTTATTTTTTTCCCCATTACCTGTGCTCACTTCACCCCATCCACCCTTCCCTATTTACATAGATTTTTGTTTCCATTTTTTTCTTTTCTCATAATTTTTCCTTTCCCTTCTTTCCTTTCCCCTTCCCCTCACACCACACCTACACCTTTGGACATTTTCCTATTTCAAATTATCAATTATTCATTTTAATCTTATTTATACTTTCAGTTTCTCACACTAGAGAAACTTTGGTATTTACATGTGTTTCCTATTTATTTCATTTAAGAGTATAGCCTCAATATGCATCCATTTAGCTATAAATGTCTCTAGTTTCTTGTTCTTTATGGCCGAGTGGTATTCCATTTTATAAAAAAAACACATCTACTTTATCCAGTTTCCAGTTGATGGGCATTTGGGCTGTTTCCAAGTTTTAGCTATTACAAATTGTGCCACTAAAAACATGGGTGCACATATATCGCTGTGGTATGATTCTTTTAATTCTTTGGGGAAGATACACAGCAGGGGAATAGCTGGGTCAAATCAGACCTCTAGCCCTAGTTCTTTGAAGTATCTCCATACTGATCTTCACAGTGGTTGGACCAGTCTGCATTCCCACCAACAATGGAGAAGGGTTACTTTCTCCCCACACCCCCGCCAGCATTTGTTATTGGTTGATTTCTTGATAGCAG